AATACTTCTCGTTCTTCTCTTCTAGTAGTGTTGAACGCAGTTCGGCTTGGTGGGGGCGCCAAATGTGAGCCCGTACAGGCCATCCTGTGAAGACCATTAGAATCATGTAATTGAAGTTGCTCCCATAGACCGATGATAGCGCTTCTTTCAACCGGATATTCACTCGTTGCAAGGGTCCAGAGGTATTTTCTCATCGCATCTTCTGACCGACTTGTAGAGCCTTGAAAGAGGAAAGATGAGACGAAGAGAGAGAGAAGGGAGGAGGAAAGGAAGGAGGGAAAGCTGATAGGTTGATAGATATCCTGAGGCCCAGTTGTACCTTTTCGCAGTTTCGTGCGGCTTTCCAAGAAGGTCTCACAAGAGTGAGGCCCGTTTGTGAACAGGAGCTAATATACTAGCGAACTTGTGAAACACTCCCCGCCTCCCATTTTCCCGATAGCGTCACTGTTGTAGCTAAAAAGGATTTACCTCTTTTCGAGATATCTTTTAAATTTATATTATTAACACTTCATAAAGGAGAGTGAAGTGATTTCATCGCTCAGGTAGTACAATGGTTTCGGAGGCAGACGTCTCAGAAAGGGTATCTGACAAGCTGAAACCAACCCATTTGGTGGGTCTTTGTTCCTATTTGAGATGTTTTATTTATTGCGCATAGCTCTCGAAACATTCATGTTGATTTTACTGATTTCTTGGTTCTCATTCACTGATAGATCAGTCAGACGAGAGGGATGGAACGAGCCCACCCGTGGCGTCTCCTCCTTTGGTTGTTTTCTTTCTCTCAGTCGAACACGATAGGTAGAGCAAGGTAGCCGGAAGGTAGCTCATTCCACCCATCCTCACACTGAACCCGACTGATTGCGACGTTATTAACGACAACGAATATAAAGTTCTATGAACAGAACGATAGAGTATACTAGTTGAGCTGAAGGATCATAAGGACTCCTTTGGTGCTCTCGTTGATCGACTTGCTCGAGTGGGCGCCAATGTTAGAAACTTCTCCATTTGTCCGTGCAATTGGCTTCTGGTTTCTCCTCTTTCTAGGGATACGATCTGCTCCACATAACTCGTTGAGAGTTTCAAATAAGAAGTCCGACCATCCGGTAGACGGTCGTGTAGGAGTTCGTTTGACAACCCGCGTAATCCGGTTGGTAATCGCTGTGGTGCACCGGTCATCCTCGAATTGCGTGACGTGCCCGCCCATATGGTCTTCGAAACTTTGGCAAATGCGACTGATCTTTGACCGTCAACGCAATGGGAGCCTCTTGGTTCGAATCCCGCGCGCGTGACCTTGCGACGCTGTTTTAGTTGTGATACTGCAACGCGGACGTAACATTCCACATTTGTGCATTTTTCCTATTCTTGCAGTAGAAGCAGTTTTTTAGCTGGCAAAACTTACTCAGCAAACGTATTGAAAAAAGAAAATTTCCACACTTATTTCATAATTAATCAGGACTGATTGTTTATAGCCGTCAAATACCTATATACGATAACCCTTCGCCGCTGATCAACCCTTCTTGGGATGCGGCACGCATTCTACTTCCATTCGAATCGTGGTGGCTTATTGAATGCGATGTAGCCTATACAGTGACTTGTGGGGCCGAGCGATGTACAATTCAGTTTTTTTTTTAATTCTCTCAGCCGGATCTGGTACCAATTTACCGTCCCCAGAGGGCAGAAGGCTTGGTTGGCCTGGACGAGAACCGGTCTGGGATTAGACCCTGGGCCACGTGTGTGGTAAGGGTGTCACTTGCCACTACGCCACTTTCGCTCATCAAATAGCTTGTAAAACCTTCTATTGATCCACTTTCTATTGACTGGACAGATGCTCTTAGTTTCTTAAAGATGGCCACTATTACTTTATGATTTAAGGAAGTCAAGGATTTTTCGGATGGTTGCGGTGGGAAATTCCATATCGTTGTTGTGTCCGATGCGTTCAAGGGAAAGAGAGTCATTGAATGTCACAGGTATAGTTGTTCTTGATAGGGCCGCTCATTTTTCTTGATTTTCGCCTTGGGTAACAGAGTGTGCTTTCACCTGAGCATTGTGGAATCTGTGGACTTGTCAGTACAGTACTAGCAGTGATCTCTGACACGCTTCATGAAAAACTTACAGAAGTTTGATATCAAGC